ATGACTCCAAATGGAAGAACCAAGCTGTGCAAAAGATTATACATATGGCTTACAAATGAGTTTATACATATACTTCATATTGATATTACTCATGTTATTTTTTCTTTTTTGAAAAAACTCCTTAACCCATGATATCCTGAGAATATTTTATACCTTTTTCTCTAAACAAAGAAATATGCCCAGAATTATCAGGGAATGGCATTCTTAATGAGGAGCCAGCTAGGCCTCCTTTGAAATAGACTCCAATGGCTATTTATTGCTGAGTTCACAGAGGTAAGGTATTTTTATCACTATATGGCAACCTCCCCTCATCACTCGTGCCCTCAAAATGATCCATCTATACCCATTGCATCTCTGAATTCTTCCCAAAATCTGCGTCACTCAATACATACATACACACACAAGTCATATTAGAGATGCTGGCACTAACCCCCTATCAGTTCATTTTCAAACAAGTAGCTGGTACTTACTACAAAGTAATCAGCCTGGCTCTTCAAATAGGTGTCAGTAAAACCCCTAGCAGACAAGCAGCCACCATGCCTACAAAAGCAACAACTGACCTGATGTTAGCTAGTTCCTACACCTGGGTCTTGTGTAATTTATTATTTCTCAGGGATGGAGCTTCAGTGCGTTCTTGACCAATGGTCAGATAGAGGAGCAGAGCCCTGAGAAGACAAAGGAATGGGGAGAGGAGGCAAGGACAAGGGGAAAAGGTCTGAAGAAAGTGGAGTGTGAAGCAATGGAAGTCTAGCAGGCAAAATTTGGGTGTAGGTAACACATGTACCTAGGAAAAGTGTAGGAGAAACACTGAAGCCAAAAGTTAGAGTTGGGGAGAGCAAGATAAATAATAATAGCTGAAGGACTTTGAATCTCCCGGGAAAACTTGAGGCTGGCCTTCTGTGGTACTATCCTTATGAAGCTGGAGTGGCTTTCCTCATAAACAGAGTAGATTACCTATATCATGTGAGTTGAAGGATATAATAAAACCTTCTTCACTCCTAAACCTAGATGCCACAATTCCTGAAATTGTTATACTAGGAATTAATCTGGATTAAGTTATGCCCTCTCCTAGTGGTTCTACCTAGAAAATACATTTGTCTTAGGTATAACAAGATGCAGCATGGCCTAGTGGATAGAGAACTGATCTCAAAGTTAGCAAGATCTAGGTGCAAGTCCTGCCTCTGACCTTGGGCAAGTCACTTAATCTATCAGTGACCCAGGCTCCTCATTAATAAAGACTATAAGTTTCAGAGAAGCAGTGATATTCACGTCTAAGTGGGTCCTTTCACAATACAGTTAGGTATTGATACCTTGCTTGGCATGAATGAATAAACTAATGATTTTTTTTTCTTTCTGTCTGCTTAAGTAGGCTGAAAGCATGGGATATTTTTGGAGAAGAGGGAAGAGTGCTGTTCTTGGGGAGAAGATGGAAAGATTTAGATGCTAATGTAATTAAATAGATTGATTCTAATTCTAATTGATGGAATTCTAATTCTGTTTGAATAACCACACTCAAAGATAATCCTTAATGTTTCCTGTCAATCTGGCAGAGGGTCTATAGCAGAGTGCCCCAGGGATTTCTGTTTGATCCTAGATGGGCTAATATTTTTTATCAGTGATTTGGAATGAAGGCATAGATGGTGTGATTATTACATTTGCAAATCATACGGAGCCAGAAGGGAAAGCTATAATGGTGGATAACAGAGTCCAAAAAGAACTTGACAGGCTAGAAGACTGAGCAGACTCTAATAAGATGAAATTCAGTTATGATATATAGTAAATCTTACACTTGGGTTTAAACAATCTGGAAGAGGCAGGTATGGTTAGATAGCAGTTTGGCTGATAAGGATCTGAGGTTTTGATGAATTGTAAACTCAACGTGAGTCAACTGTGTAATGTGGTAACAAAATTAGCTAGCATGTTAGGGCCGGAAGGTAAAGACAAAGAAAGAATTAGATGGCAGAAGCTCCTTAAGTCCTCTGCTGATTTGACAATTTTTCCTGGAGTCAGTTATGCCAAGACAAAGAAAATTTAGAGGAGGAAAAAACAGATAGAGGCTGAAAAAAAAATTGGAGAAGATGAGTTAAGAAAGGTTATTTCATGAATCTTCCTAATCCCTACTGTCCTGGGGCAGCTTCTCTCAGAAATTTCCTTTTTTTTCCCTAGGTGGAGAGGATCCTATATAACTCTTTTGAGATATGTAATATTTATAGACTGCTTATATTTATATATATATATAGAACCTTCTTTTAAAAAATGAAGGACCGTGATTCCAGGTTCAAGATATTTCTGGGGTCCATATACTTCCTTCCTGAAATAGTACCCTCAGGATATTCCTACTCAAGAAAAATTGTCACACGTATTGAAAGTGGGGCATCCATCCAATTTGGAGATTATAAACTCCAAGGTAGGTGACCTTTGGCAGCTACTGCTTAGGAGTTCTCTTTCTCAAACAACCCCCTACTACAGGTACATACCTCCTAAGACATCATGCTGAAGAATGCATCTCAAGTGAGATAATTCATGTGAGAGTACTCTATAAACCATAAAGTATTGTGCAATCATTATCATTGTCCCTGCCTGCCTAAACATTTAGAAAGGAAGCACTATCAATGTAATAATAATAATTTGCATTCACATAATGCTTTGAGGCTTGCAAAGTACTTTTCTCACAACCACTCCTTGGTTTAGGTGTTGTGAATATTATCCCCATTTAACAGAGGAGGAAACTGAATTTGAAAACAAGTTAAGTAATTTTCTTAACAGCACACAACTGGAAAGTGCCAGAGCCAGGATTCAAACTCAGAGCTCTTCAAGTCCCCCACTTTTCCTGCATGCCTTATTGCCTCTTCAATATGATGAAAAGAATACTAGAGTAGGAGGCTGGATATCCAGATGCTGGTCTTAGTTTTGTCACTTAGCTGAGTGACCTTGTGGGCAAGTCACAAGTAATTCCATTATGGTAAGTCCCATTAAACTGTGAGCTCCTTGGGAGTAAAGACAGGCCTTCTTTTTCCTTGATATGTATACCCAGCCTTTAGCATAGTGACTGGCACATAGTACGTCAGCTGATTTACTGACTGACAACTCCAGGGCTCAGTTTCTTCACCTACGAAATGAGGCAGTTTGAGTAGATAATCCCTAATACTCCTTTAATTGTTAATATTGTACGATGCTATGATTTGTTTACTTTTAATACATTACCTTTCTTGCTAGACTTCTTAACAACCTTCTCTTTCTCTTCTCTTGACAAATTTAATCCATTATCGATGGACTGAATATGAAACAACTACTTTCCATCTCATCCTTGGTTTTGCAATTTTGCAAGCTTAGTTTGAACTTTCAAGAATTCAGTGATAAATTCCTTAGGCATGAATAATTTAGTCTCATCTCTAGAACTAGGCAATTCATCTACCAATTTATCAAAAATCTTTTAATATGTCCCTAGATGGCCTAGCTTAAAGATAAAATCATCTAAGATGAATAATTTTCTGAAGTCCTTTTACATAATTTTTGTTCCTATTCATAAGTGATGAATTGTCCATTTAAAACATTGTTTATATTTTTTCTTTAAAAAACAATAAATACTCATAACCAAGGAATTTCATTAATTTACTTGTTCAACAAATACTTATTAACTTATTGGTAGGGAAGAATTGAAATGTTTTCAGTAATGGAATGAACTTGTCTATCAGGAAGACCAATCTAGTTGTGATGTGTAGAATGAATTAAAGGGGAACATTTACTGGAGGCCAGTATGCTACCTGTTAGTATGCTATAGTTTTAGTTCAGATGAAAGGTTATGAGGACCAGAATGGTGTCTGTGGGAACAGTAGGTTGAGATCAGTTGGAGAGATCTTGAGGATAAAACAAATATACATGACAATTGGTTAGATATATGGGGAAAATGAGGAAAAATTCATTATGATTTGGAGGTTAAGAGAACATAAATGATTGTGGGTATGGTGGTACCACTAACAAAAATAGGAAAATCAGGAAAAGGATTTGAGGAGTGAAACAATGAATTCAATTTTAGTTAGATATGTTAAACAAGGTACTGATGAGACATGTGTTTGGAGATGACCAGTAGACAGTTGGAAGGGTGAATCTAAAGCTTCAGAGGAACTGAACTGTGAATATAGATTTGCAAGTCATATATACAGAGGTCTGAATGAATGAGGTCATCATGAAAGTTTAGAAGAGAGAAGAATATCAAGTACCACTTTGGAGAACGGGCACACATCCAAGGATGTGTTGCTAAATGTTTAACAACTGGCTATCTCCCCTAAAATGTATGTAGGACACACTTTTAAGTTTAATGAACATTATTAATGTTTTCTCCCTCACTTTCTTAAATCTGGACAATCACCAAAACAATAAATTAAACCCCAATTTGTAGCTGATTTCTGAGGTACAAATGCTCACATTGAAAATTTAACAAGTGGCTCTCTCCAGGCTATTTGAGCTGATTCCAGCACACCCTTGGACGCCCTTAATCTTATGTCAAAAGAAGGAGGAGGAATCTTCCAAAGGAGCATTTAGAGAAGAAAATCAGATATTATGTCACAGAAGTCAAAGGAGGAAAGAATATGTGTGCAATCCTACAAAGAGGTCGAGAAGGATAAAGAATGAAAAAAAGGTCATTGCAGGAGGCAGTGTGATTTTGTGGGGAGAGCACTGAATTAAGATTCATACTTGGGTTAAATCATGTCTATGCCATACAATAACTGTGTATCTGTTCTCCCTTGTTTAATCACCTTGAGCCTTAATTATTTCACCTGAAAAATGTTGGTCTGGAATGAGTGGGGTTGATGGATTAGAAGACCACTAAATTCTCTTCCTAATCTAACAGTTTTTGATTTGGAGATTTGGAGATTTGGAGAGGTCACTCTGCCTACAATACCCATCAAAATACAAATATAATTCTGCCAAGGCACACAATTATAAGATTAAAATGGTTCAAAAGATAAATAATTTTTATTTTTATGAAAAAAATTAGTCTATTTTCCACTATTTTCAGCCTCTTTACTGGGCAACTCCTGACTGGGCATTTCATCACTGGACTTTTCCATACTGTGTAGCTCAGTACTGCTAAGCTCAAGTTCCTTACTGGGTAGTTCATTGCAGGTCTCTGACTTCATGCACTGTGCATCAATTTTATGTAGAAATAATACTGATGCTGTTGCTTCTGGCACGTTCATTCCTTTTTTAAAGTCTGGAGATCCGGGCCCCCACACTGTGCTACTAGGTGTACTTTTAGAAAAGGAAGTTTCTGATACACCTTCTGCTGGTTGAAAATAAGACATGGTTGCCAGTTCAGGTCTGATGGCAAGATTTTTTTTAACTGGTTTTTTTTTAGGACTGGAAAAAAAAAGAACACATATTTGATTTATTTCACCAAAGCATCATCTCCAATTTTATGTTTTTTCAGAACAAAAATATTCTTAAACTTCAGCAAACATTTTTTGCAGCATAATATTCAATACATATATTTAATCTATAAAATTTACTACAGTAATTATGTATTATAAATTAATAATTATAATATTTATCTTTATCAGAAGATACTAAAATTTCCTTTCATCTAGAATGTATAAAGTTTGATCAGAATATTGTGGGGTCATGTTGAAAGCTTAAATTGAGCCACTTAAATGTTAATATTTAGCAACCCTGTATTCTTTCTTTCTTTGGTGTGGACACACACACACACACACAAACATACACACATTCAATTTATCCTTTAAGTTTCATAGATTTACTGCTGGATGGGATCTCAGAAACCATCTAATCCAACTCCCTCTTTCTACAGTTGAGGAAACTGAGCCCTAGGGGAGATCAAGTGACTTAAGGTTATACAGATAACACACATCAAAGACAAGATTTGAACCCAGCTTCTCTGATTCGAGAACAAATGCCTTTCTCATGGTATCACCCATGCTACCTCCCATGGTAAGGCTGTCTCTAAACAAGGGAACTTGAAACAACAATTTTGACTGAATTAAATGATCAAGGCAATCAAATGAGATAGTTCATATGAATATCACCTTCGAGTTTTTTTAATTCTGAAATTATTCTACAACTAACAAATACATTTAAAGTTATTTTCCATGTAACTATTAAATCTAGTATACAATTTAAACAGTTCTTAAAATAGGAGAGGAAGGAAACACACATTTATTAAATACCTACTATGTATCAGGCACTGTGCTAAGGGCTTTAAAATGTTATCTCATTTGATCTTCACATCAATACTGGGAGGTAGTCACTATTATTATTCCAATTTTACAGTTGAGAAAACTGAGGCAGACAGCAGTTAAGTGACTTGTTCTGAGTCACACAACTAGCAAATGTCTGAGACTGGGTTCAAATTCAGGTCTTCCAGAATCGAGACCCAGGGTTTTTGTTTTTTCCCAGTGAGGGACTAAAAGGCAGGGAGATAGGAGGGAGAGAATGTGGATCTGAAAATAAATTTTAAGCTTTAAAAATTCAATATGATCTATTGATGCCAATATTTTATCATTTACTATTTATTCATCATAACTTCTTGATATAATCATACTTCTTTGTGCCACCATGCAAATGAAAACTTTGACCTCATGTGGCTCTTTCCTTCTATTTTAGCCTGAATAATTAAATAATTCTGAGACTGAAGTAGGTTTAAAACCCATGCCTATAATTTTAAAAAGTGCTTAATAAAATGATACAGGAAACATTTAAAGTGAAATTTAGTTGAAAGGAGCTTAGTAGGTAGGACCAATTGTATTGTGGAATAGAGAAGCAGGTGCATTCATTATATTTGTTCAGCAGAAACAACTGTTCTGAGGGAATGAGAGAGAGTGGGAAAGAGAGAGAGGGAGATGGAGATGGAGGGAGAGAGAGAGAGGGAATTTGAGAGAGAGAGAGAAAGGAGGGAGGAAATTACTGTAAAACAAATCCATCAGGGTGTTTGACATCAACTTGTTATATTAAATAAATAATTTTAATTGAATAATCACCTAATTTAGAACTGATTTAAATATAATTCCTTTAAGGAGAAAGAAAGAATAAGCACCTAACAAATAAATCTGAAAGGAAATGTTTGTTGTCCAGATCTCTGAATGCTTTTCTAGTAGAAGAGGAAATTCTGGAAATACAAAAACAAGTTGCCTTTAAGAAATAATTCATAACCTTTGTGTCCCATGATCACCAAAAAATAAAGTCATTTCTAATTTGAGATTCTGTGAAATACCATTCTATTTAAATCCAGAGTCACTCTCCTTTTTAAGCAGGATTCCACCTGAACACCCAAAAGATGAATGCATATGAATGCAAATATATTTATATGGAATAGGCACTATCTTCTAGGAGGCTAGAGTATTTTCTCACATGGAATAAGCATACCAATTCCTAGACTTAGAGGGAGAAATGATGTGAATGCCTTAAAAAATTTCTATAACTTGGAGTTTTCCTGCAAGTTTGTAGAGTGAAAGGTCTATCCACTGTGCATCATGGTACAGTGGAAAGGGTTTGGAGCTAGAGGGCCTAAGTTCAAATAACAGTTCTACCACTCACCTTGTGTAACCTTGAGCAAATTGCTTAAACTTTCTGGATTTTAGTTTACTTATCTGTAAAATGATGGGAGGATTGGACTACATGAACTACAAAGTCTCTAGATCTATATCCTATAACCCCTCAAAAATTGCAGACATACCAAATGAAGTAAAAGAATAATAACAAAATCTTCATGAAAAATTTCTTTGCACAGAAGAAAAGAGAAAGATTAAAAAAAAAATTAAAGCTCCAACATAGTGAATAAATATTATGGATTAAAAGAAACCAAGGAGAAAAATCCAAAAAGAAAAAAAATAAAAATACAAGCAAGGCCTCCAGAATAGAAATTGGATCTATTACTGGGTAATAAGTTCAGTAGATGAGGTAACAGATTTGGCATCGACAAAGATAGAATTAAAGAGGGCAGCTAGGTGGCGCAGTGGATAGAGCAGCAGCCCTGAAGTCAGGAGGACCTGAGCTCAAATCCAGCCTCAGACCAAACACTTGCCACTTACTAGCTGTGTGACCATGGGCAAGTCACTTAACCCGAATTTCCTTAAAAAAAAAAAAAAAAAACAACAGAAAGGTGGAATTGAAAATAACAAAGATGGAACAGGAAAAAAATCACTCAACAATTTGGAATAATTAATAAATCTACATATTTGCTAAGATGTTTTGGGTGAATGAGAAAATAGTACAAGTGGCATGAAAATAGCAAATAAACTCATAATACAGTTCAAACTAGATGAACATTTGAGAATGCTTTTAAAAAAAAAGGTAATAAAACAAGAAGACAGAGCCAGAGAAATAATCTGAGAATTACTGGGTGGGTCTCTGAAAAATGTTGAGAGAATTCAGGTGTCATGTTTCAGGAAATTGTATGAGATTTCCCAGAATTATTAAAAATCAAATGAAAATTCAAATCAGCATACCACACAGAACACCAAAGGAAATGAAACTCAAATTCAACTTGTTCATAATCATCAAAAAAAGGAAACATTATTAACAAAAAAACAATCAGAAACATGAAGGATTTTTCTCTCAGGATGAAAGAACACTGTGTGGTTTTTTGTCATATTTAATGTTATACATATATGTCAAAAAATGATATGAAAGATACATACCATTTGAGCAGCTGGCAGGAAAAGAGAATAGTGCACTGGTCTCAGAGATTGGAAGGCTGGTCCTACTAATGAGACCTTGGATAAACCATTGAACCTCTCAATGCGCCAAGCAATTTTTATAAATTGCAATGCAATTGCTGGTTGGTGTTAATAGAGGGAGTTTTCTAACCAGCTGCTACTTATACCAATGAAATCTTAGCTTTGAGCCAAATAAACCACCTTAAACCATAGAAAACACTCTATTACAGAAAAAAAGTATTCCCACAAATTTCATGTGATATGTAGCTGCTGCCAAAAAATTCTGTCACAACACAGAGATTCCAGGTGTTAAAACAGAGATTTGATTATGCTTTTAAGAATAAGTTCAGGGCTCAAAAAAGATATCTCTGAACAAAGACTGGGATTCTAACAAAGCTTTTTATAAACAAAAATTACATCAGAGAAGCAGATAAATAATCTATTAACATATAGTCTCCTAAATCTCTCCTCATGGGCTGTAAAAATCACACAGACCTTTATTTTAGTCAGACAGACTTAGTTACATATAAGAAGTTAAGTTTTCAATGTTGAGAGTTTACAGTGGATTAATTGAGAGGAGGAGATTTATATGCTACAAAGATATTCAAAGGGTCAGACAAAGGGGATTCTTCCACAAATGAAGCAAGTTATTTTGGCAAGCCCTACCTCTTTCTTTACTTCTTATCTCAGGAATATGGCAGTTTTCAGTCACCTTAACAATCTCCTAACTAGGAAAAATGACCCTGAACTCAATATAATAAAGATTAATAAAAGGAAATAAAAAATTCTTAAAACAACTCCGAAGCTACTTCAGATTGGGTCCTTATAAGGATTTCTACTTAACAAAAGCATTTACTAAGATGTCAAAGTAAAAATGGTACCTATAAATACCCCCCCACACCTATTAATCCGGTGTGCAATTGTCCACAAATACACGTAGCAAACATGGGGAGAAAGCTTAAAGTTGAGACTATTATGGTAGTGACGCATACATATGTGATAAAGGTATCTCTAACAGCTTCTATCAGTGACTAGGAGGCCTTTCTTCTCTACACAAAGTCTTCCAACAGTTCCCATTGCATTTAGCATCTCTACTGGTTGAGTTGCTGACCCAGTTTCCCAGTCTGCTCTTCTCCATAGTCACTTCTTTTCTCTGATGCCAAAGACCCTGTTTTATGAAGATACTTCCTCCTTAGAATAACCGCAATTTTTATCCATATCTGTCTGAAGTGTTTCTGCTCCCTCACTTGTGTCTCACATTCTTTTGAACCTATGAAACTCTCAAACTTCTGGATGCCAGGCCTGATGGGGGAGGGAGAGTGCAAACCCCCTGCCCCGCATTTATCTCCTTCACAAAGCCTTCTAGAGAGGCTGGATTCTACTGGAACTGAGCTCTTTTCCTAGGGCTTAGTTATTTCAAATCTTGATTGTCCAAATTGGTTGATCTTTTGCTTCTGTCTGAGAAAAGTGTTCATGCATAGGCATAGACACATATTTATAATATGTTTAAAACCATGTTGACATTTTGTTTACATTCTGGACTTCCTATGACTATATCATCTGAGGTGGGGAGAAAGAACCCCTACACTCTCTCCACTTATATATTTACTATTCCCAAATAAATCAACTAGAGCATGTTCTGGCAAAGTCCATGTGGCACAGTTTACAAATGATCTAGAAATTAATATTCTTCCACAAGGATACAGGTGTATCATAACTTGTGGGTCTAGAGATTATACTCATATCCAAAGTCATTGTTACACAATTTTAACAAGCAGACATCATTTTGTAAAATTTTCAAAGGTTGTTGTCTACCATTGTAATTGCAAAGGACTTCCCTAGTGCAAAGACAATAAGTAAAAGAAAAGGGGAAAAAAATCAAACTTCCCTTCTCAAAGGGAAAGCCTGATCCCTACAGAGCTCAAAAAATATACAGTGCTTTTCTAACCGGGGTTAGGGACTTGGGGTCAATATGAAATCAGTCTCTCACCCTTCAAGTGAGAAATCAAACTGCCTTGTCGGGGTGCTTATGTAACAACACAGGTCTCACTGGGCCAAGGCAGCTGGGACGTTCAACCTAAGGGGACCCTTTTGGACCCACTTGTGTAGACCAGGTTTAATCCTGGGAGGGGGCGCAAAATTTTCCTGGACATAGAACATAAATATCTTTTTTTTTTTTTTTTTTGCTTTTTGGTGAGGCAATCGAAGTTAAGTGACTTGCCCGGGGTCACACAGCTAGTAAGTGTTATGTGTCTGAGGCTGGATTTGAACTCAGGTCCTCCTGACTCCAAGGCCAGAGCTCTATTCACTGAGCCACCTCACTGCCCCGAACATAAATATCTTGATGGCTTCCTGAAACACATATGTAATCTAACTAGAGGTCTGAACTTACCCATTATTATGTCAGTCAGGCTAACTTAAAGCAGAAAACAAATTTTAAAAAGTCTCAGAGATATGGGGCTTCCAAACCGGTATTAAGCACTTGGGATTGGTTATTCAGGGTTTCTAGGCCAACAGGCAGTCCATATGGCTCTCGAATTGTCTGGACTTATAGAGCAATGAGAAAAATGGTCTGATTCTGCTTAAAAGCCAAAAATAAACAAAAAAAAGGTATGAATTCCTACTTAGTATATTCTAAGTGAATTGCTAGGTACCAATATTCTATAGATGCAAATACATACTGTTCATATTAATTTCTAGATTCATGGTGGACATAAGAATACAATCAATATTAATACCAAAGCTTTCAATCATACAAAAATTATCTCAAAGGAACTGGCATTGACTTATAAATGAAAAAAAAAGAACAAGAAAGCAGATTCTTCTGCAACAGGTGCGAACCCCTAGAAAGAGGAGGTTCAAAATTGGAGTCTAATGATAGTGAGGCAAAAGAGTAACATACATGTGGCAAAGGCAACTCCCAGTACTAGAGAACCTGGAAGTCCTTTCTAGAGTCCTCATGCACTTCTCTTCAGGTACATCTCTGCTGTGTGAGTTGCTAACTGGGTTTCCATGATCTATTCCTCTCCATAGCTGGCTGTTTTCTACTGAAAGAGGACCCATTCCTCCTTTGAGAGTATCCCTTTCTGTATCCATGTCTGTCTAGAGTTTGTTTCTCTGCTCACTCAGTTGTCCCCTGAACTCTTAAAACACTGAACAACATTGCTTCTGGATGCCACAGCCCAATAGGGAAGAAAGAAATCCTATCTTCTGCCCACCCCAGAGGTCTCTTGCACAAGTCTCCCAACCTAAAATTGAATTCTGATCCGAGGGCTTCATGCTTTAAAGCTCTGATGTCAATGAGATTACTCCCTTCACTTTCTTGAGAAAAGCATTGACACATGCAAGGTTAAGGGCAGTAAAACATCTTTACATTTAGTTTAATAACTTGTAATTACATTTTGGACTTTCTCTAATTAATTGAGTTGGGGTGGCACCTCCTTCCCAGACATCTCTACACCATACTGCCTGCATTTTGACCATTATCCTCTTTCCTCCCCACCCCTCTCCAAGGAACTTTGGGTTCCAGTTCCTGGAAAGCTGGGCTGTGGTCTTCTTATCTTGCCTATGTCCCAGTCTCCAAATCACTTCCTGTCCATCTCCATATCAAGTCTCCATATCCTCCCTCTCAGGCCCTCTCCCTTTCTAGCTTCCCTTTATGTGTGATCTTCCCCCGCATTAAAATGCAAAATCCTTTAGGTCATGGACTATGTCTTCTGTGCATAACACTGTGCTTGGAATTCACTAGGTGACTACATCCAGATTTATGAAAACTTACCTTTTCTTCTGCACTCGCACTCGGGAGAAAATGAAACAACAAATACACATGAAGATTAAGAAAATGATGAGTGTCAACAATGATATAATCAGCATTATTTTTAGCTTTACTTCTTCTCTTTGAAGAGATTGGCTAACAGTCTCATGAGGGATGTCAGGGACTTAGAGAAAATAAAAAGAAATTAAACAAAAGTAATTAGTTATGTAAGTTACTTTAATACTGTCATACCAAAAGATTAAAATCTTTAAAAAAAAACCCAGAACAGAACTGCTCAGGTTTGAACAAAAAACTTTTACAATGGACTGACCAGTCTGTAGTGAACACCTACAGGGGCTGTTTAGGGCACCATAATATTAGAAGCTTGTGTCATAATATAAGCAAAAGTATAGTATTTACTAAAACATTGGTTAGCTTATATGTAATTGATCTGGACCAAAAGAAAAAAAGAAGAAATATTACTTTAAGGGAGGTTTTTTTTTTTAAACTGCAAAGTTTTTGATTAACTAGTAATCTTGATTTTTCACCATCAATCTCTGGGGCCTCTCCAATGTTAGCCATTTAACAAAGTAGAGATGCTAGCTCTTCTATTTAATACTTGTGTGTTTTTTGCACAAGTCACTTAATTTTTATGGACTTTGATTCTTCATATTCAAAATAATATTGTTGGATTAGATAAGTCACTCACTAGAGATTGCTTCTGGATCTAAATCTTTTTTTTTCTTTTTTTTTGGCGAGGCAATTGGGGTGAAGTGACTTGCCCAGAGTCACACAGCTGGTAAGTGTTATGTGTCTGAGGCCAGATTTGAATTCAGGTCCTCCTGACTCCAGGGCTGGTGCTCTACCACCTAACTGCCCCCTAGATCTAAATTTTAAAACTTTATTTCTCTATTCCAGAATAACTTGTAAGTTTCTGAGGTTAGGAACTATTTCTTTTTGGTTCTTATATCTCTAGTGCCTAGCACAGTTCTTGGACATAAGCAGCAACTAAATAAAAGTTTCCTGAACTGAACTGTATTAAAAAAATATCAAAATCAGTATGGTTCAAGACTGGATTATTTTACTAATTATGTTTTTAATTTTTTTCTTAATGGGAAAACTCTTCTTTGCTACAATTTTTCAAGGTATTTTTGGGCAGGGTTGCTATAAGACTATTTTAATGAAAATATTTTCATCTAATTCTAAGTTTATATTTTTCTCTTTGAAAATTATTGATTTAATGAAACAAAGCATTATTAGATTGAATGTCCAGAGTACTAGTTCAAAATAAAAAGCCAGGGAGATTTAAATTGGGTATCCTCTAGGTTCATATGACTTCAAGTTGGAAAAGCACTTAGAAATTATATAATTCAGGTAGCAGCTAGGTGGCACAATGGATAAAGCACTGGCCCTAAAGTTAGGAAGACCTGAGTTCAAATCCAGCCTCAGACCAAACACTTGCCACTTACTAGCTGTGTGACCCTGGGCAAGTCACTTAACCCTATTGCCAAAAAAAAAGAAAGAAATTATATAATTCAGGCTTTTTGTTCATAAAAGGTGGTCTCTGAGTTAGGAAGCTGGTAAGCATATGCTGGAAAATGAAGGTGTTGTAAAAACAAAAGATATCAAAAAAGTTTTTTTAAAAGAAAAATTATCTAGCTCCATCTTCTTTTAGAGACAGATATAGAAAAGTAAACGTCACACAGCAAAAAAAAAGTAATGGAGTCAAGATTTGAACCATTGTACTCTGACAACAAAACTAATCTAAGTTAATTACACAATTCTGCCTTCTGGATCCTGTCAATTAGGAAACAAGGAGTGACATTTTCCTCTTTCCCTTCCTTCTAATATTAAAAAAAAAATAACTCATTTTCAAAGAACACAGTCTACAAACCAAGGGAAAGAAATGCATGTAGTTGTCTCTCTAAGATCCTATTTTGACTCAGAAAATATTTGTTTTAGAAATAGCAAAATAAATTACAGTAAAATAGGTTATCCTACTGTGTTGTTTTCTGGAAAAAAAATGTTGCCCATTAGTCATTGCTTTCTTTATAAAGCAAGATTTGGCCAAAGGCATTTGTAGCAATTTATGATGACAATGGAAACAGTCTTGGCACTAACATAATCTTTGACTAAAAGTACCAGAATTAAAAGCAGTTTCTTAGGAGTTTCATCTTTCAAGTTTTGTTTCGTATCTCACATCTAAACAATATTCTGCTAATCTGAAATTTCATATACCTTGCTGGTCAATTAAACATCTCAGAGAGAATTAAACAGATAGATATTAGCATTTTTAAGAATTTTGAATCCAAAGCTAAATGATTAACTTACACTTTAAAATTTTATTATCATCTTAAAAAGGTTCTTTTTTTCAGTTGCTATAATTTTCTGTCTTCCTCTCTCTCTCATCGTTCCCCTCTCCTTCTCCCTCTCCCTCTTCTTTTCTCTTTCCCTCTCTTTCTTTCCCCTTGTCATCTTGTTTAAAGTTCTATGGCATCTGGGTAAAACGACTCCCAGATTATATTTCATGTCAATTTCACTTTTGTATTCAGTTTCTCACCTTTCCATATATTTAATTGACTAGTGAAACATCCTTAAACTTTTCTGCACAGTTACCTCAAATTGTAAGTCACTTGATCTTCATAATAATCCTGGGAAGTAGGTGCTGTTATTATCCTCATTTTACAGTTGAGGAAACTGAAGCAGACAGGTTATGTGACTTGCCCAAAGTCATATAGCTAGTTAGTATCTGAGGGTAGATTTAAACTCAGATCTTTCTGACCTGAAGCTCAGCTCAGCTGCCCCCCGCCCATAGCTTAACAACAATGAATGAATATAATTATTTTGTGCCTACATAAAATTACATATACTTTATAAACTATATATGTACATGAAGATCTTTTGGGGCTGATACATAAGACATACAAGGCTATGACTAGGTATGTTTGAGCCTTTGGCAAGGCAATATTAAGATAATCATAGAATCAGAAAAATCTCAGGTTTGTAAGGAAATTCAGAGGTCTAGTAGATAGTTGTATAGAAATGCCCTCTACAACATTCCCAATAAGTGATTACCCAACCTTCTCCTGAAGATCTCTAGTTAAAGACAACTCACTACCTCCTAAGGTCGTTTTCTTCCATTTTTGGATAGCTTGAATTGTTATCAATTACATTGATACCTTACATTAAACCTAAAAATATACCCCTTTGAAACTTCTGTTTTATCTAATGCTGACCTCTGGGCTCAAGTAGAAAGTCTACCTCCTTTTCCAATGACAGCTCTCTTGTTCTCCTCCTTCCCTCTACCAAGTCTCTGTCTTCTCCAACCTAAATCCTTGTTGCAGTTGCCACAACTTGGATGGCATGGTCTTGAGGTCCATCATCTTTCCTGGATGCTCTCTTTAAGACACTCTCCAGTTTATCAATGGCTTTCTTTAAAAAAAAATGTGGCACCTAGCACTGAACCCAGTATTCCATATATGGTCTGAGCAAGACAGTACAGTAAAATTACTTGAGAACAAAGAATGAACAACAACAATAAGGGTTGTAGATACTGTGCAGATTTATATAATATTGCTATATAGACCTGTCTTTAAAAAGTATTACATTGATCAACTTTATACTAACACAAATGCCTTGACATTCTCCATTTCCTTTTTGTCCCTCATTTCCTTCTAGTGCTTCTCACCTAAATTCTTTCCACCGTTCTTTCTCCTTCTAGTTCCTATATTTCTTTATATAAATATTTTAGTATGTAATGTTTCTCTACCACCTTTCATTTCTTCTGTCCCTTTGAATAAAGATTGCCAAGCTATATTCTATTCAGGAGTCCCATCCTACCTGATTTCATTATTCCTGAGCAACACTTCCCCATGAATGGGCAACTAGGTGGTGTAGTGGTTGGAGCACCAGCCCCAGAGTCAGGAAGACTTGAGTTCAAATTCGGTCTCAGACACTTACTAGCTGTGTGTCCCTGGGCAAGTCAATTAACCTTGTTTGCCTCAGATCCTCATCTGTAGAATGAACTTGAGAAGGAAATGGCAAATCACTCTAGTATCTCAAAATAAAACCCCTCAAAACAGGGTCACAAAGAATCACACATGATTGAACAACACTAAGCCTCTTCATTAAAGGTAGAATGGCATAATGAAGCCTAACTGTATTTATATCCATTGCTTTCCAAATAATTCCTTTGCCCCCAAATACACACTTTTGATTGCTTGAATCAGGCATAGGAATTTCAAACCAGAAAGTTCTGAGGAAACACACAACTGAAAAAAGATTTTTATTTACCATTCCTAGCTCTTTTGATTATGTGAATGCCCTGTAGGGCACTAAAATCTGGCATACTCTGTCCCACTACAGTAAATAACATTAATATGCAAAACGTCAAAATGAGCACATGATCTGATAGTCATTTACTTATATGTTTATCTTGATTGTTTGTTCTTACTTGCAATTGTCGATTGATTTTCATTAATAACTGCTTTCTCATCCATTTCCATTTTCTTATTTTTTGGTTGCTTGGGCAGTTCCTCTAATACTGTTAAATTAATAAATATGTAGTTGCAAATTAAAGTAAGTTACCAAAATATCATTTTCCTATCATATAAAATTTTTTATATGAATGTGTAAGTGTATTATATCTGTGTGTATCTATTGATTGGTCCATGTATTCTCTCTCCTCTCTTCTTACATAAAAGGTACACAAACTGAATATGTTGGAAAGAAAAATTGCTCCCTTCCACTCCCATTCATGGAATTAAGAAAGACTTTAAGACAATGACTAAAGTATGCCTCTTCTAGAAAAATGTGGGTTTCTTGGCCTCATTAGGTAATGAGTGACCATTTTACATAATGGTTTACAATCTTATCTTTTCCTTTTATACACAGGAATAAAAACACAAGTGTTGACCTCTGGGCTCATGGAATTAGTAGGATTTATAGAAATGTCAGTTCTCATAAGCTAAAAATTATTTTTGTTGGCTTATTTTATAAGGACTATTTCGGATACTTCACTGTATATGTTTACCATCAATTAACTGGCTCCTGTATTGGCCCATTTCAGGATCACGATTTTTTTCTTCTGTTAAAATATAATAAGATAATATAATAAAAAGACTTGGTTCCATTAAATTTCTGGTAGAAAGAAAAAAAAAGCATATTACTCATACTTTAGCAGTGTTAAAATATTTGAATTCTTTAACAATTACCACATTTTAGAAACATTTTTACTAGTCTAATTTGCATTAACTGGAGAAAATCTGATTTCAGATCAGGCAGATCCAGATACCTCAAGAAATGCTAACAATTGCCCATTCTTTGATAGTAAAAACAACAATTCACTTGGAGTCAGAAGACATGGGTTCAAACCCCAGCTCTTCTACTTACTTGTGTGAATCTGGGCAAGCTACTTAACCTTTTCTTTGGCCTTAGTTTTTTTATCTGTAAAATGACAAGGTTGGACCAGATGATCTTTAAGTTTCCTTGAAGCTCTAAATCCTATCATCCTATAATTATAAATAAAGATTAGCTTATTCTACAAAAAGAATCCCTATCTCTATCTGGGGATTCTGTTTCTTTAAGATCCAATTTTGGTACCTCTTTCTCAATGAAAGTTTGGTACAATGGAAAAATCACTGGCTCTGGAGTCAGAGGATCCAGAGTCAAATCCTACCCTTGACACCACCCATGTGACTTTGGTTAAGTCATGAAACCTCTCTGGGCCTCAGTTTCCCCATTTACAAAATAAGAGGTTTGGCTTACTTAGCTTCTGAGTTCCCTTCCAGCTCTTCCATACTCTCAGTTGGAAATGATCTTTCTCTCCTCATATTTCTCATAGGACTTTGTCTTTTGCACAAAGTTCTTAGCACTAATCACCTTGTACCTCTTCTATAATTATATAGGAGTGTGTATATATATGTGTGTAGGTACATGCATATATAATGCATATAGATATACAATACATGTATGCATCTATACATACACATGTATAATATGTTTTATATTACAAATATATGCACATACATATATGTGTGTCTATGTGCACATATGTGTGTATGTATGTGTATATGTGTGTGTGTGTATAAAAATAAACTAGACCTATGATTTCAGATTTCATCCATGTAGTGAGCTCTTGGTGAGGAACTTCCTCTACCAAAAAAGGTCAGCACCTTTTCTACAACTTAGAGTCTTAGTTGGGTATGGAGAGGTTTGGGGGCAGCTAGGTGGTGCAGTGGATAGAGCACTGGGATGCAAATCAAGAAGATTCATCTTCATGAGTCCAAATTCAGCCTCAGACACTTATTAATTGCGTGACCCTGGGCAAGCCACTTAATCCTGTTTGCCTCAGTTTCATTATCTGCAAAAGCAACCAGAGAAGGAAATGGCAAACTATTCCAGTATCTCTGTCAAGAAAACTCTCAAATGGTGTCATGAAGAGTTGGACATGACTGAAATGACTCAAAAAAAAAAAAAAACAGAGAAGTTTAGAGACTTTAGGATCACAGTCAGAATGTGTCAGAGGAGGGACTTGAACCAGGTTTTCCTGACTCAAAAGCCAGGTTTCTATCCAACATTTTATCTTCCCTAATTAGATTATTATGTCTGGAATTGTGTCATTTCATTTATATACCCTCAATATTGAGTACAATACCTTGTAGAAAGTAGGAAGTTAGTAAATGTTGGTTGAACTGAATGGAAATGAATTAATGAAAATTATGTTACTGATGGTATTCACATGGAAATCAATAAAAATGCCTTTTCAAACAAATTTGACAATAAACTGAACTCTTAGTTCCAGACTCAGAATTATAGTAGTAAGAAATTCTCCAAGCATCCTATTAAAGTATTTTTTTAGTGATTTCTGCTGCCCTCCTCTAATGAATTTGTTCATTATATATAGGATTTTGACTATCCAAAATCTATTTTCTTGTTTTAAAAACTTTATTGTGATTTTTCTTCTCTGTGATTATGGAGGTAGTTTTACATACCTTCAGTAAGTATATCTAGATATGTGAGGTCAGGGAGTTCTTTTGGTCCCAAATCATTATCTAGGAAGAGGAAGATGAAGTTTATTTTCATCTAAAATTACTAAGAATCTAGGATGACAATCTTTTTTGACTTACGAGTAGAACAATGAAAAGGTAAATGGAATCATCACCATTATCATCATCATAGCTTGCATTTACATAGCACTTTCAGTTTTACAAAGTGTCTTACATATATTATTCTCATTTGATCTCTGAGAAATGAGAGAGAATGACAGAAATATTGAACATTTTCCAAGGCAACTGGACAAGAAATGGAAGAGAAGGGAAAAAAAGGAATGTCATTGCCTTGACATAAGCCCATTTGTAATGCTAAAGGGTAATATCAGTACGATGTTAATATCTTGTATTTCACATCTCAGACATTGTTCTTAATTATAGTGTAATCTCAAAGTCACAGAATAGCCACATTCATGTGTATAGACATGTGAAAAAGAGATTGCCTAAGATGCAATACGGGCAAGCACTACCAGAAACACTTCAAATTTATTACTCACTTGATTTTGAATTAATTTTTGGTTGTTGCACATTCAGAAACTTTCTACTATTGCCAAATTTTTCACAACCCCACATTCAGTTATGCGATTCCACATGGGGTCATGACCCACAGTTTAAGAAGTGCTGGTTTAGACTATTGTGGGAATAGCAATGAGTCCACTATGATCACCCACACATGATCTTAGGAATCTTAGGATCTTAGGAATGTAAGTGGTGGTAAGGATAAAAGGTGGGGGTAAAGGATATCCATGGGTGTACCTGTGAAGATAGAAAGGTGGAATGGAAGTTGGACCAGACATTTCCCAGTGTGACCACTAGGTGTCTCCATAAACAAAGGACAATTCTGGGAATTGTCCAGAGTGAGGACAGCAGAGGGTGGAACAGAAGGTAGCATGAAATCAGCAGTTATGTGCATATGAAACATTCAGAAATCGGGTATTCACATGTCAAGTAATACATTTTTAGATATGCAGATACAGAGACAAAGTGTTGGGCAAAGATTATATAGGCGTGCCTTACTCTCTGAGTTTCTGTTTGAATGTGGGGTTAATACTAACAAAAACTAGAGTGACGTTTTTTCCTTTCCAGCAGTTTTCTACCTCATTTGCTTTTGTCTAAATTAGAAGGCCTAAAGTACTCCTGAATAGTGTAGTTTAGACCAGGGCTTCTTAAACTTTTTCCACTTGCAACCCCTTTTCACCTGAGAAATTTTTACATCACCTCTGGCATATAGGTATATAAAATAAGTATACAAATCAAATAGTTATTGATAATAAATCATAAAGAAATTTATTTTAAAACAATTCTTTGGTGTACATATAATTTTACCATTTCTTAAAGATGAAAGCAAATTTGCATACTAATGACTTGGATTGCGCTTATTGATTTTTACATAAAGAATTAAATCTTGGCAGAATATTTGATACTACAGGATGCAGAGCATCTTCAACATTTTTCAGAGTTGATTGATATTTCAATTTTATAATCGTCAATGCTGAGAATACTGTTTCACAAAAATACATAGTACAAAACGGCAGGAGTATGTTTAAGGTCATTTCAGAAATTGTGGGAAATTCTCTCCTAATCCCAAGCCAAAATTCATTTGACATTTTATATGAACAGCAAAAATACTGCAATTTATAACCTACAATGGCCTCAAATCTGAGCCGAGGTGTTTCTGGCAGAGTTTGTTGGCACTGTGTGGCGTGATAGCATATACAGTGCAAAGTGCGCATGTTGTGTGTTCAGAACTAAGGCTGAAGTGAGGTTGTGTAATGCAGCACAGGCAAGCACTGCCAGAAACACTTCAGATTTACTACGCACTTGATTTTGAATTAATTTTTGGTAGTTGTGCATTCAGAAACTTTTTGCTGTTGTCAAATTTTTCATGACCCCCACATTTAGTTATGTGACTCCACATGGAGTCATGACCTACAGTTTAAGAAGCACTGGTTTAGATTACTGTGGGAATAGCAATGAGTCCACTATGATCAACCACACAATGATCTGGCTGACAGAAAAGAATATCATCCATTAGGGGCATTGATTTAAGATAAGATTTGTAGTCCCGGTAGTTAAAGTCCCTCAAAAAACCAGGTGACAAACTGCATCATCACTATAATTTATTTTAGAGGAAGGGTGGCTTGATTACCTGATCCTATCTATTTTCCCCTGAGTCTCTGGGTCTGTGCTAAGGGAGCTCCATATCTAGGATCTCTTTTGGGATTCCTGGGAATGTAGCGATAAAATATGCAAAAGGAATCAATTATTGTTACTCCAGAGTGGGAATTTTTTGTATTGTTTTGTCTTGTTTGAATCAACACAATACCATTTGAAGTGGCAAGAATTCTCTGGCAATCTCAGGGCAATGTCAGAGTTGAGTCAGTGGTACAAAAACATTAGGCTCTTAAAATTTTGTTGAGGGTTCCAGAAGTCCCCTCAAAGCTCCTCTCTCTCTAAATCAAGAGTTCTTAACCTGGCATCTGCAGACCCCTTAGGCATAGATTCAGTGTACATACTGATTTCAGAGGGTCTGTGAACTTGGAACTTTTAATATTTTCATAACTATTTCAAAATAATTGGTTTCCTGTGTAATTCTATATATTTTATGTTATGCAATATTATTCTGAGGGTCCATAGGCTTCACCAGACTGTCAAAGAGGTCCACACACACACACACAAACACACACACACATGCACACACATACACACACAGACACATTAAGAATCCCTGCTTGGAGAGATTCAGAGTTTTCCAGGCTGCTCAAGTTCTGACTTTCTACTTCTTAAACTCCAAATGCCATTTTCAGTATATTTGTATACTGTTAATGAGATGCCCAATGTTGAACTTCCTTCACAAATGGTATTTCCCTATGAAATATTGCTACCTCTCTTTTAAATCATAAATTCTGAAGTTTGAAATGCTTCAAATGCTGTGAAAAAAAAGTTATAAAAATGAATCGAATCACTCATCCTTGCTTTTTCAGAGTACTTAAACTTACCATTGAGAATCAAGTCAAGAAATGCTTACTCGTGTTTATAAACTTACAGTCATATACTTCAGGGCGCTTTGTTTCTTCTTCAGGTATTTCCCTTGAATGGTTTTTAACTATAAAGTGAAATACACATAACTGTTTGTGATCTTTTCATAATCTCAAAAGTTGCCTGTTGCTAGTATTGCTGATCTTTGCAGAGTAGCCATGCTTGGTGGGAGAGCAAAAGGTGGAAATTGAAGTTAAAAAGAGAAAGAAGTGGGGAAAATAAAAAGATGGGAGAAGATGGATCACGTTCTCTTAACAAACAATTCATTGTTCTAATGCCAAGCCAAAATTCATTGGCTAATTCTAGCCTCCTGAACATTTTCCACTATAATTGTTCTATGTCTTCTTGGAACACAGAGACATGCATTCAACGACAGACAATATTAGTTCTTTCATCTTTGAAATTCATCAGTGCCATGGACCACTGAGTTCTGAGTGTGTGGAGAGAAGGGTCTCCTAGAATATTATACCACAGAGTGAAAAAGGCCTGAAAGCTCAGTGTGATTGCCCTGTCTTAGAAAGCTATCAATCAATCTACCACAGGAATCAGTTCTGCTTTACAGGGAAATCATTTGGATTTGTTTAGAATCAATAAAAAGAAAAACCACCTTGTTTGGGCCCTGCTTTGTTGAAATCTTTGCTACTTAGGGGTGGGGAGCTCAAAACTTGACAAAGTGACTTTTAATACTTACGGTAGTCTTGAAGGTTATGCATACTGTCTCTTAATATTCCATAGCTTTCAGCAGAAAAATTGAAAGTTTTTTCAACTGTCACTAAAAAATAAAAATTCTTCAGCAATTAGTTAAGTTCTCATTTTTGACAAATTACATTCCCAAGGCATGTTCAATAATAAAGTAATCAACATCTATATAGAGTTTTAAGGCTGACAAATGACTCTATGAATATTATCTCATTAAAGCCTCACAAAGGTCATAGGTTGTACGCATAACAATAGGGCAGCTAGGTGACACAGCTGATAGAGTGACAGGTCTGGAGTCAGGAAGACTCTTCTTCCTATGTTCAAATGTGGCCTCAGACACTTACCAGCTGTGTGACCTTGGGCAAGTCAGTTAACCCTGTTTACCTCAATTTTCTCATCTATAAAATTAGCTGGAAAAGGAAATGGCAAACCACTCCAGTATCTTTGCCAAGAAAACCCCAAATAGGGTCCTTGAATAAATTGCTCACAATGTTTTGGTATAAGTTATCTTTGTAATCTGCAAGACATTAGTTTTTCTCATTTTTGCTCCTGAACCATATTTTCCATCATACCTACATATATACACACACATTCACCCATATTCACGCATATTCACAATGTCCTTCTTTCAAGAAATCAATGAGTATTAATATATTTTTGGAGGGTATTAGTTTTTATAGACTTCCTCTTCTTCATTAGATGTTAATGCATAAGCTGCACTTACTTTCATAATGGTCTTTTTACAGATAGTTATCATGGGCATTGCAGTATCAGATAACCAAATGCCTCATGAAATGGTGTTTCTTATTATCTTGAGTGTACAATAAAACTTTGACAACTCCTTACAAAAAGAAAAAAATTATATACCTGATAGAAGGGGAATTCTTACTGTGAATATATGGGGGTTGGTTGGTTATAAATTGTATTTTAAAATCCTTAGAATTTAAATGGACACTTGGAAAGCATCTCACAATACTTCCATAGATCCATTCGCTCATTGATTTGGATGATTCCTGTGCTTATGCAGATTGCAACCCATTTTACCACAAATCTTAGTTAACTCACCATAGGTCTGTCCATTGTTGATGTTTTTAGGTGACAAATAATCATAAGACTATAGAAAACTATTAAAATAAAATAAGGACTTCTAGAGATAATCTCATTATGCTTCACAGGTAAAAATAGTAGGAGAAAATGAGTTCTATTTAACAAGTAGATTGAACCACAGGATTAATCAGAATAAAAAAGAAATGCAAAATCAATATTAACATACTTGGGAACATATAAAACATGACAGTAAAATCAAATCATTGTAGACAATTATTATAAGCAAAGCCTGTTAATTTTTCCCTTTACATAAGTAAATTGTAAAATCCAACATTGTAGTGGAGCTATGTCATATTCCTCAGTAACATCAAAGTTTGCACTATCATTAATATCACTATTATCACCTTCAGTGCTTTTGTTAATGTCTTCATTGTGTCTTGATAAAATAATAGTTTCAGGGAGACCTAGGAACATGAATATGCCATTTATTAGAAATCTGACATTAATTCCTTTATTAAATACAATAAGCATTTTTTTATCCTCACATACTCATTTTGGTGAGACAGTTTTGACACGCATTTTTTGTTTTACTTTGAAAAATATTGTAGTGGTGTCTTTTATAGAGTTTGCATTTCCATTATATTCTAGGATATCCTTGTGTCAGAATCATACATACATTATTGTTATACTGTTATTATACATGAAAACTTATTTTTGCTTACTTTATTAAGGTCTTATAAAGTTCTCTGGATACAGTCAAAGTCATATAAATAATATGCAGGATACAGCATTGGAAGAATGAAAATGAAAGCCCTCTGTGTAGTAGTGAAGTAGGAAAAGGAAGGGATAAGTGGAATGACATCTCTTCATCCATGAAGCAAGTAATGGAATGAAAGAATATATTTCCTTTCATCTAGCTGTATCCAAAAAGTTAATAGAAGATAGGGACATGACATTGAGATACTTAGAATCTCAGAGATAACAAAGCAAATGTTCCTGTTGTTGGCAAGTGTGTTTTATACTATGGTACCATAAAGAGTTACTTGCTGTGTGACCCTAGACAAGTCATTTAACCCTATTTGCCTCAGTTCCTTATCTGTAAAATGAGCTGGAGAAGGAAATGGCAAACCACCCCAATATCTTTACCAAGAAAACCCCAAATGAGATCACAAAATCAGATACGACTGAAATGACTGTCAACAACCATAAAGCCAGTGGTATGTCATTTCATAATAATCTTATGATTTTTTTAATAACAGGTTTAATGATAAGTCAATTAAATGATCTCAGATGTAATTTTTCCATTTTATTTTGTTCTACTAACATTTGCTAAGTTTATATGCAAGATACTATGCTTGGTGCCAGAGGATACAATGATAAATAAAACATGCCCCTGACTCTCACAAGTTAATAGGATAACAGATTCAGAGTTAGAAAGGACCTTGTAAGTCGTCTAGTCTCACCTGTACCTCTTTATAAATGATGAAACTGAGACCTAATATGCTCATGATCACACAGATTGTAAGCAGCAGAGCTAGGATCCAACTTTAGGTGTTCTGATTCCAAATCCAGGATTTTTTCCATTGAATCAATAACACACAACAAATGCATAATTGTAATACAAAATAGAGTTTTCAGAGAAAGTAGGGACCCCAGAGCTCTTCTAGTGAACTTATACCTGATTAAGAACTATGGACAAATGGTAACCCAGGCTCTGCTTGAAGACCTCCAGTGAAATGGGGCTCCCTAACTTCCAAAGAAACCCATTCTATTTTTGGATGGCTGTTCTTTTTAGGAAGCCTTCTCTTTTATTTAGTTGAGATTTTCTCTAGTTCTTTAGTTTTGCCCTCAATGACAAAGCTCCCTCCAACTTCAAGGCTAATCCTTCTTCCATTGTGGCTTTTCAAAAATGTATAAAAATCTGTCATGTTTTCCCTTTATTTTTTTTTTACCTAAGTATCACTTACTCATTCCACTGATTCAATTTATTAAGCCCCTACTCATACACTTGCATAGAGCCTACCCTGCCCCTTGGTGTTGTCAGTCCCTGAGAAAGTATCCCCATTACTCTTGCCCTGAGAGGAAGGGGACTGACCAATAAGAATGTTTCACTGAGGTATACAGGTATACCTTGCCCAGACTTTATGCCTACCTATACACCTCCTATGTGCAAAGCAATCTGCTATGCGATGGGTGTACAAAGACAAAGTACATTAGTCCCTTGCCTTAAAAAACTTATATTCTTTTGGGGGGCTATGACCATACACATATATGACCAAACACAGATATGTTTACACATTGTAATTTGAGGAAGGAAAGTGTTTGTTAGTAGGGGCAGTAGAGAAGTCATTATGAAAAGATAGCATCTGAATTGAGTCTTAAAGGAAAACAAGAAGGATTCTAAGATTGAGAGGAGAAAGGAATGCCTTGCAGTCATGAAGGAGGAAAAGCTATGTTAAAATATGGTGACTAGAAATTAATTTAAGAAATAATCTTCTAGGGCTGGAATGTAGAGTGCCTGAAGAGAAATAGTTTGAAGTAAGGCTAGAAAGGCAAATGGGAGCTTGATAGCAAAGGGAATAAAATTTGTATTTTGAATTAGATGCAATGAGGAATGACTGAAGACATGGGAGTAATGCAGTGTCACGACCAGACCTGTGCTTTACAAAGATTGCTTCGGCAGCTATATGGAGTATAGATTAGAAAACAGAAGGACTGTAAACAAGGAGACTAATAAGGAGGCTATTATAGTTTTCCATGTAAGAGATGGAAAAGGCCTTACATATGACTGATAGTCTCTCTGAATGAAGAGGAGAGAGGTGCTAGATGGTGCACTGGATAGAGTGCCAGCCCTGAAGTCAGGAAGAACTGAATTCAAATCCAGCCTCAGACACTTACTAGCTGTGTGATCCTGGGCAAATCACTTAACTCTGTTTGCCTCAGTTTCCTCATCTATATGATGAGCTGGAGAAGGAAATTATAAAACATTCCAAATCTTTCCTAAGAGAACCCCAAATAGGGTCACGAAGAGTCAGACACGACTGAAACGACTAAATAACAATTATAGTTTTCCAGATGAGAGGCGGAAAAGGGTTTGACTATGGCTGATGATTTCTTTGAGTGGAGAGAAGGTGAGGGATGCAAGAAATGTTATGGAGGTAGTATTGGCAAGACTTAGCATTTGATTGGATATGAGGGACAAAGAAGAGAAAAGAATCTAGGATGACTATAAGGTTACTCAATGACTAGGAGGATCAGCAGAGGGAAGAAAATAATCGTAGGACTATTGGAGTTAAAAGTGGAAGGGACCAAGGATGCCACTTATTTCGTTTCTTTCATATTATTTTTTCCCTTCAATTTAAAAAAATTATGAAATTAGTGAAAATGAATATTGTTGTATATAGAGAAAAAGAGGATTATATATAAAACCGTAAGCTTTTATTACATCCAGTTTTTAAAGCATCTATTAAATTTAACACATTAATACCAAAATTGCTTTATTTATATGTGATCCATTCTGGACTTCCTTACTTGTATTTTGAAATGTTTCACTAACACTCTTTTCTTTTATTTCTTCTTCTATTTTTGCAGCACTATTACCAATCCACCCTGCTCTCTTCCACAAATCTCAGCCTCCTCTCCTTCTCCAAATAAATGTTCTCCTATGTAACAAATAAGTATAGTCAAGTGAAAAAACCCTACATATTAGCTATGTTTGAACCATTCTTCCATTGCCTCTCTGCCAAAATGTAGAAGCATACATCATCATCAGTCTTCTGAAGTTATAATTGATCACCAAATTGATCAGTATTAAGTCTTTCAAAATCATTTTCCATTACATTATTGTAGTGAATGTATAAGTCATTCTTCTGGTTCTGCTCACTTCATCTGCATCAATTAATATGAATTTTCCCAGGTTTCTCTGAATCTACTCATTTCCACATTTCTTACAATGGAACAGTATTTCATTGCATTCATGTACAATAATTTGTTTCACCATTACCCTATTGATGAGTTCCTATTTTGTTTCCAGTTCTTGAACACATCTAAAAGTACTGACATAAATATTTCTATACATATGAGTTCTTTTCCCCTGTCTTTGACTCTTTGGGAGTGTTTCCCTCATTTTACTGTTGAAGAAATTGAAGGTCAGAGAAAATAAATGACACGGTCAAAGTCACATTACTAGTAAGTAGCATTACCTTTTATTCTACATAATACAATATATATGTATCTATATATATATATATATATATATTCTACACATATAGAGATAGACAGAGAGATAAAGAGGGTGAAGAGACAGTGAGAGAGAGAGAGAGGGACAGAGACAGACAGACAGACGGAAAAAGAGACTGAGAAGGCAAGGATGAGGAGGGAGAGCATTCCAGCAGTAGAGGACAGTCAGAGAAAATGCCTGGAGTGGAGAGATGGAATGTCTTCATCAAACTGCAAGGAGGCTATTGTCACTGGATAGAAGTGTGAGAAGGTGTTAAAACACTGGAATGGGAGGAGGGAGCTATGAAGGCCCTGCCAAACAGAGGATTTGTATTTGTATTTGATCCTGGAGACAATAGGAAGTTACTGGAGTTTATTCAGTAAGATAATGGGGAAGGACATGATTGGACCTATGCTTTAGGAAAATCACTTTAGTGACTGAATGGAGAATGAATTGGAGTTGGGGGAAACTAGAAGCAGGCAGACCTACCAGCAGACTATTGCAATAACCCAAGTGTGAGATGATAAGGGTCTGCACCAAAGTGGTATCATTGTCAGAGAAGAGAAAGGGGCATATCCAAGAAATGTTGCAAAGGTAGGCTTGGGCAACAGATTAGATATGGGAGGTGAGAAATGGCGAAAAGTCAAGGATGACTCCTACATCAGGAATTTGACAGCCCAGAAGGATGGAGTTACCTTCTATAGTGATAGGGAAGTTCAGAGTAGGGAAGGGTTTGAAGGAAAGATAATCAGTTGATTTGGACATGTTGAGTTTAATATGTTTACTGGATATCTTGATTAAGGTGTCTGAAAGGCAGTTGGAAATACAAGATTGGAGATCAACAAAGAAGTTAGGGCAGGATAGGTAGATTTGAGAATCATCAGCAGGCAGATGGTAATTAAATCAGTGAAAGCTGAAGAGTTCACCAAATTAATATAAACATAGGAGGGTATTGATGGTGAGTTACATAATCAGGGACATTGTGGGGTAGGTGTTCTGCCATGGGGCAGTGTTTCTCATGATACCTGAGATAATTGACATGGTTCTAGAGGAAGGCACAATGGAAAATGGAAATCAACAGAGCAAGCTCTACAAGGCAGTGGCAGAAACCACATAGGAGAAAGTCTACAATGGATCCCTTTGCATGAGGAATATAGAGAAAAGAGAGAGATGAGATAATTATGGGGGTTTTAATCAGAGAATAAGTGTCTAGAGTAGACAGGAAGAGTAAGGATAATGAGGAGA